ATACGTGGTATGTTTCGTTATTAACTGATCTGCCAGCAACTAAAGATCTAAATTTTATAGGTCTTGCTGTATATTTACCCGCACACATTTCATTCAATTACTGTGCATTGTACATTGTTGGATATTCAGTCCCTTTCTTAAAATAAATAACTTTATCACACCTGTTTACACTTCTCGTTTTTTATTGGTTTTCTTTATATTTGTATTTTCAAATCAATCCAACTGCTTTCAATCTCGCAGAAAATTGTCAATCTTCATTATCCTTGCAGAAAATCGAAAATAAAATTGTCAGCACTTTGCTGTTGGTTGACAGGTGAATACTACTGGTATATGTAAATATGAACACTAAAGCAAATATAATATATACGAATATTTATATATATAGGGAATTCCAATACGGAGCTTATTTTTTTCATTGTATCCAGTAATGTTTGCAATTTCATCATGTAGATATATACATACGCAAGAATATTGTTTAAAAATTATTAAATTTCATTATTAAAATAATCGTTCTCCAATTGCAACTTTTAGTGGACTTTTGCTGATTGTATTAATTGTACACGTATGCTCGCCATTCGTCGAATTGTTGAAAATTTCTAACGTACATGCTATTTACATAATGCCCAAATTTTGCCGTTCAAACAACTGAGACAACAGAGATTATGAGGTTATTTGAAGTCACCACCAACAATAGCACTAAATGCTATTTTATACATAGCACCCACGGACATTGCCCGGTAAATGCGAAGTGCGCTTTAAAGATATGTGAAGCTAAGCAATCAAGAGCACATCGAATCTCTTTCTTCTTTTAACTCCATTCCTGAAAACTTAGGTCTCTGCTTCACAGAAACTACTCGTGGTGCTCACATACCGATGAGGAACGATGCTGGGATGACGCGCAGTAAACATTCTCACGGCTTGGTCGGTGCTACGATGAAAATTTAAGTTGTTCTGTAAGGAGATCTCCTTCAATATTAGCTATAGGTCTTTTGACTACTGCGGTGTTTTCCACGCAGAAGTGGCTGCTATTAAGATGACAGTAGAAGTACTGCTACAAAATGCAGAATCTTTCAGGAAAGTGAGCATTTATTTCGACAGCAAGTACCAGCGCTGAGGTCGCTAACTGTGCAGTTAAACCTCATTCGATACAGCATCAAGCTGCTTCATCACCAAACCTCACGTGCGCTTAGCAAACGAGTGGTTTCTGTGCTACTGCCATATTCCTTTGGGCTAGAGTAGAACGTAGTGAACTACTTTTTCTTTTCAAAATTCCTTTCGCCGAAATCATAGGTTTTCCCATTGGATAATGTCCGATAGACATTCTTGGGGTAAGATTACAAATCTTGTCGAATCCAGGCTATTATAATCCATTGTCGAGCCTTTGAATGATTGAGGCAGAAACATCTCGGCACATTCATCTTCGGCAAACCATAAGACTTTTGAAATAAGTTCGGATAAGCTCAAAGTGCTTTGCCAAATTGTCAAATTGTGAGCAACTTTTGATCTATTTAATAAGAGTTTTAAGCGCTAATACAGATCAGCATTCTAAGCTCTTCAAGTTAGATCCCTGCTAGAATTGGCAACTTAACCTAAAGTAAACAAACCGGACTGATGAATTTAAAAATATATGTAAGGTGTAACAACTACGTTACATTTTGTGGTCTTCTTGGTTGCTTTTGCCTAAAGGAAATCTAATAATCCAGTTACTTTCTGGGTAAAGCAAAATTTCCTCCTCTATAGTTCGCCACTTTCATCACAATCGGTACATCATATAGGCGTGCCCAAGTTTTTGAATTTCACCTGTTGCTGTGGCATTGAATTGTAATGAGTTGTATGAATGCACCCCTATAAGCTTTGAACATTTCGAAGTCATCGTATATATGTATGTATATATATCTACGTAGTCGCACTAGGAGAAATAATATTGTGTATGTGGGTTCGCTTCAGTTCAGCACTGGGCTCCTGCCCCTGGTGGTAATACAATACACGTCAGGCACCCAGTCGAAATGTTCTGCCTACGGTTTGAAGTGGTTGCAGTGCAATGAAATCCTCATATGTATTATCACATTTAAGCCAAGAGTGCCTTGATAAGCTGTGATTGTTTGCTTACTTTGCAGTTTAATTAAACTTATTGTCGGATCGCCAAGCTTAGCAAACTAACCGATAATTTACCTCAGACCGCAAGAATAACGATTTGAAAATTTCTATGCCATTTAATCTGCGCTAGCAATTACCAACCGCACATCAAAGTAGCCAAATACAACGCTTTGATGGCTAAATATTTGATTTGTTTTGAAATGGAAAAATTATCAAACAGAAAAACTTAAATAGTTATAAAAAAAAAGAGTTTTTTATTGACGTAAAATACAAATGTAAACTTCCGTTTCTAACGTAGAAATTATAGAAAAATAATGAATTTGAAACATAAGCTCAGCTTTATGGTTAACTCGTGTAAATTTTCACTTTCTTTAGCCAATTAAGCGGGCTTAGAACACTTAATGAGTCTATAGGAGAATAAGTTTGAAAAATATCTATTCCTGCTTTCCTAAGCTATCATTTGTACTGAGAAAAGAGTTACCTTTGGTATTTTCAATTAAATACATTTCACCTTAACTTTGTTTTTTATACGATGAATACAACCCTTTCTTTCTTGTTTATTTTTTTGAATTACTTGTTTCTTTTGTATTTGCGCTTACTCAATTGCGCTTCTGAACTTCGACCAGCCGGTCATTACTATTTTATCTAAACACTAGTTGATTGCTATAAGTCTTAAAAAGTTATATTTTGCCAATAAATGTGGGCGATATGCAAATTATGTGAATCCTGAAAGTAATTGTCTTTTGAAATTATTCATGCGATTATTTTTGGAAAACGATGTAAGGGTAAATTTCGGCATTTGTTTGTCAAGATGTGACCTCAAAAATGGTTTGATAAAGTATTCGTTATAAGCTCTGAGTTATTATTATTATTGTTTTGAACTTTTTTCTGACTTTTGATATTGGGAAGTGGAATACTTCAAGATTCGTTTTATGTTCTTGTATTATGAATGAATAAAGATGGAGCAGAAAGTTTTGAATTATACTATTATGTTACTTAGCTCGATGAGAATTGTGACAAATTAAACAGGTTTGTTTACTTCTTATTATTCTTCTTCGTCAGTTGCTCTATCCTTTTCGAGTTCATGCCAGTTGAATATCTCAAGTGCAGATAGACCGCTATGCACTTAGATGCGTGGGCGCCCTTACCATCTATGGGTCTTAAGCCAAGGTAGCACATTCGTTGAATTTTTATGCGCTTCTATCTTCTTCGATATTCATAGTTCACTCGGACGGCTCCATAGATCTGGCGAAAAGTAGTTCGCTCGAATGCTCCAAGTGCTTTCTCAACTCACCATCGTCCATGTCTCCGCGCAGGCCGGGAATAATAAGTGACTTATAGAGCGTAATTTCTGTTCTTCGAGAGAGACAGATATGTTTTTTAATTGCCCACCGATCCCAAATAAGCACGTGTTGGCAAGAGTTGTTCTGCGCTTGATCTCCTGTCTTAGATTAGTAGTGGAGTTTATGCTGGTCCCGAGATATATGAAATTTATAGCTGCCAACTGTGATGCAGTTCTCAAAACGCCAGGAATCTATGTATATGTTTACAGGGTTTCACTTTTTTCTAGACTTGAGCGGCGTCGTGGTGGCTATCAGAACCTTCTTCGATTCAGCTTTTTATATCCTCAATTGAGTCAAAACGTTGTCCACCGAGTGGTCATGTGAATTTGCTGAATAGCCAGAAGTTACTCGAAGGTAAATCAAGCGAATGCGGTGGTTGCGGTACGATATTAGAAATGTGGCGAAATGATCACGAATAACCAGTACAGTATGAGATGTTGCATTATCGCTCTTCTTTGTTCAGTAAATTCAGACATAGTAAAAATCAACGAATTCACTTTTAGACCCTCACAAAATGGCGCGTATCTCAAATACTAGTGAATATTTTGATATGAAATTTAGCGAAGTATAAATTAAAATTCACTTTCTAATTTGATCACAGTAGTACTATATGTTTCTTTTGTTGCTAAAAGTAATAATGTATGTTCAGGGACATATGTATTATATATAGCACATGTATGCATTCTTGTAACTACGTATTATTCTTTGTGGTTTGTTGTTTAAGAGTTACATGGATTTACGTATTTAAAAAAATCTTTGTTTTTTATTATTTTCTTCAATTCTAAAACACATTTAAATTTTTAAGTTGATCGGAGTAATAGTTTAGGAGATAAAGACTTGAAAACACGTGCGCTCGAGGCTAGCTAGGCTAAGTGCACCGTTTTAAACGCTTTTTTCTCAAAACTGTGTGTTTTGAGGTCGGTTGGTAAGATTTAATGAGTTTAAAGAATTCTAAAAATAAATAAATTTTTTGAAAAAAAAAAATGTCGCGAAATATGTACTGAAATTTTAAATTTTTTTTAATTGTCTGCCAAAAATCCCACTTCAGTTTTTTTCTTCGTCCAAGTTTTCAGCTAAGCTTTTAGCTAAAACACTTTAGATTTTCACTTTAAATGAATTGTGGGAGCTATCTTGCCAACGAGGGCGCATGACTTTTTCGAAGTTTAACCGTCGCAATAGCCAAGTTTAAAATATTTTTTACTAAAAATTTCTGAATTTCTTTGTTAATACTGTATAACAATAAAAAATTCTAATAAAATATTTCTTTTTGTTTATGAGAAAAAATTGTTGCAAAAAGGTAAGAGGGAACCCATAACTGCGTGGGCAGTTTATAACTTTGATTTACTTTGATTCAGCATTAAGTGATAAATTGGTTACGAACGGTATATATTCATATGTATTTAGTGATAAATTAGTTAGATTTTGAAAAAGTAATATGATAGAACTTGGTGTTTCTTTATCGTTCAGCAAAAAAATTAATGTTCTTTATTTTTAATTTAAATAAGGATTTATTTATTGTTTAAGTTATCACATTATATAAATAATGAAATTATCATATTATCACATCGAACATAAAGAATCGTATCGAACCCAACAATTTTTAGTTGGATTGAAAATCAAATGCTCCAATATTTCCACTTTAGGTTTCTTTAAAGGCGGTGGTTGTAGTTCTCTTTCTTCCCGAATATAGTCTTCAACCGCTTGCAGAAGGTCATCTACATCGTCACAGCTCAATCGTTTTAATGAGTTTTGGCTAGTTGATGATGCTTCTCCGTTGGGATTATTTAAAGAATCCAAGATTTCTTCTGTCGCAGATAATCCGTTTTTCTCGGAATTAGAAGGGGCGATCGCCGAAAGCTTCTTATCTTTGGCTCGTCGATTTTTGAACCACACTCTTACTTTTAATTCGTCCACTCCTATGCGTTCTGCGATTTGTCTTCTACGCGCACCTTTGGCAAACTTGCAACCTCTATATTCGGACTCTAATTCGGCCACTTGCTCACGACTATATACTGTTCGCCAATGGTTGCGATTATCCGTTGCTGAAATTGTTGTAGCCGGTGAATACAGTCGATTATCTGTTAGTGGAAGTGTTGTAGCCGGTGATTGCCAAGAAGTTTGATATATATGTGGATTACCATAGATAGGCTGTATATTACCATAAGTACAATTATGAAGCCTATACGCATTTGGTGGTGCATAATAACACTGCGTCTGAAAAAAAAAAAATTATATTATATATTAGTTTGTAAACTATATATATTAAAATTATAAAAGGTAATATTTTACTTACGAATGCTGAAAAAGTTGTGTCGGGAAACATTTTTTTAATTTGTTGTAATAATTATCGAAACTTAAGATTTTTTAGATCTTTGCTCCTCGAAAGTTGGTTTGCTAATGTTTTAGAAAGAGTCGTCTGCTTCTTTTATACTATAGTTTTTTGTTTCCGTTCCGCAGCACTATGCCGTGTTAAGTTTATTGGCCTCTCTTCTTTAAAATTACCGTTGTGTGTTCCAGAAGTAATTATTTTAGCCGAACAGAAGTAATTAAAGCCTTCATCCCAAATTCAAGGTTATTCCGTACCTGTTGTTGTTGATGCATAGATTTTTGGTGAAAATTATATAGATTACCACAACTGTGTGGGTTTTCCTGGTTTTTCTGAAGAATGGTTCACTTATGTCTCAAATTTTCTAATGCAACGGCCTTGTTAAAGAATACAAGTTTTGGAAAAGGGTGAGTTCATTAACGATCACTTACCGACACAATAAAAGTTTGTCCTCGAATGCTTCTGAACTAATTTATGTGTGATTACTCTTTATGTCAGAGTTTCTTTGAGATATGGTATTAAACATAAAACAAGTCGTTTTCTTCTCAATAATGCGACATGAGTTTTGCGACAGAGAGACTCTACTTGACTTGTGGGGTATATATTATTTACTATTCATTTCTAAATTTGAGTATTAGCTGTTAGCAATATAGGATGATTCCTTGTTATTATTTCTGCTTTGTTTTAACATTTTCCGTACTAATTTCCATTTTCGTGAACATAGCGTCACCGCATTTCTTGGTGACAATTTTGGTTTGTACGAAATTTAAAAATAATCGATCTTTTCAGTTTATTTTCTCAATGTACATATATTTAAGAATACACACAGAAAATTTAATATCCTTCCGTGTCATATTTTCCAGAGAGTTAGATGTGCATTCCAAACTTTAAACGCGTTTTTTCAAAATTGTGCTTTCAAGGTCGGGGACCAACATTACTCGGAAATGGCTAAATCGATTAGTCTCAAATTTTGGTAATTAATTATGTAATAAATCGAATATTTTTTTTCACCGTTAAATATTTTTTTATAAATAATTTAAGGCCGAAATTTTGTCAAAAATATTTATTGTGTTTATTCTAGAAATTCATTACTAGATTTAACATTACCATAACGAGATCTGTTGATTTCTTTAACTTCAGCAGATCCAGTTTAGAGATATAGTGGTCACAAGAAAACGGCTTTTTTGAGATACTGTTTTCGGAGATATTTTTATTAATACTGAGTCTTAAAATATAGTTAAAAGATGCCACAATACGTATAGAAATTTATGGATCAATGAATTTAAAAGTTTTCTCGGAAAAAAATTCTGGAAAATTCTCTATTTTCGGCCGTCTAACTATATCAGACTTCTTAACATACCTAAATTAAAATTTAATACTTTTAATCCATTCATCTAAAAGCGATGAGCCCGAGGTGCAGTAGTTAATAAATAATTTTTCATTCTCAGTTGCATAGAAAATATTTTGTAATCTAATTCTTGGTATGTGCATGTATGTATGGATTGACTCCAATTGTTATTCAGCCTTTAGAGCCCTTTTAACTTGTATATAGTTTATATTTATGTATATATTTACGTATATGTATTCTTTTTCTACATTTGAAAACCACTACTTATTTATACAAACATCTTCAACCACATTAACTTCTTTCTTTATTTGGAATTACAGGTAGGTTTAAAATAGACAAAAATTTACACGCAAGGTCAATTATGTATGTATGTATTTCATTCACCAGTGTCCGAAAAGTTCCACACCCACAAGATCTCATGCTTTTGTTTTGCTTAATTCTTACATAGAACAATGCAACAGTTTGCATGCAGGTATAAAATATTTTACCTGTCAGCGCTCGATTGTTGTAAATTTAATTGTTTGCGGCTACCTGCTAAACTTTGTTTTTGCTTTCATACTATATGTATGCTCAGTTTTGTTATGTTAAGCATGTGGAAGTTTAGTAGTATATTCTGGTATTAGCTTATATTTCTCATTGTTCATTCACTAAGCTAACCGAAAAACTGGATTTTTTCGTTTAATTTTTATGCTCTGAATAGGATATATTAGTTAGCTACAAAGGTTTGGCCACAAATGTTTTAACACTAACCTTGAAGATAAATATAAATGATCGCGGGACGAGCTGAGGCAGCCTGTTATTCTGTCTGTAATTTGAATAAAATTTCAATTTTGGAAGGTCATTATAACTTCCCTTGAAGTTAACGTTTGTTCTTGTTTATTATACAAACATGTTATCTCTATAATTTTAGTCAATAAGAAACTAAGTCCTTTTAGAAGTAATTTGCCAATATTTTCCAACTGAAACTCTTCGATACGATAAGCATCTTGTTTTTAACCGTAAGGAATTTATAAGATAGGAAGAAGCCTTTATGTGACAGCTCTATGCTACGGCGCTCCAAAATTTCTCAGCTATCGTAGCGTTGCCTTCGAAAATAACTCATTTGGTCATTACACCAATCCTTACATATGCAGTGATAAATATTATATTTGTCTGCTCCAGCAGCCCATAAACGTATTCATCAGCGGAAGTATTCGGCATAGAAGTTTTATTGAACAACTGCGGGACGATACAGAAGGCAACCATTTACACAGAGAGCCTGGCGTCGCTACTCGCCTTGTCTTCGTCAAACCTCAACTCCAGAATAAATATTTATGTGTAGACCAATATTGTGCATGTGGTTGTGAATATGAATCTATTGCGAAGTGGATATTTTTCTCATAATGCCAAAACTTTTACTTTATGCAAAAATTTAATATGGGTGCTGTGAGTAGATGAAAAAAGGAAAACGTATTACCTTTTTGAGCAATACAGTGAAAAAATATATCGATATACATATGATTATAAATTCTGCATGCATTGCTTCAAAAATATCAAGTAGTAATATTAGATTTTATGAAAGCAAACCACTTAAAGAAACTTTTATATCTGCCTTTCAGAAGGTAGATTAATGTTGTAAACTTTCATTTTAAAGAACCCTGCATCACAAGTGTATCTGTACCTAGCACATTTGTTGTTGTAATTTTACTACATACGTTGAAAGCATAATTTCACTTATTTCACATATGGGCGCCTGGGTATATACTACGTTTAAACAATGATAATTGATATAGCATGCGTTTACTCTAGTAGTTTGCAGCCGCAATAACGGTTAATTAGCTTAATTGGTTTGGAAATTGCTTGCTGTTTGTTTGGATGTAATGGGCTGAGAGTGAGCGCAACTCACAAACTCATTTTATGCCGTGCTCTTGTATGCAGTTATATGTCTGTATGTATACATATGCTTATAATTATTTCACTACCTGTCTGTTTGCTATATTTAAGCACATTAACTTGTTAAAAACTTTGAAGGCTGATGATTAACATTTGTTAACATGTAGAAAGAGCTGTTGAAGTTCAAGCTGAAAGTAACTTGAAATGAATTTTAGATGTTAAAAAAACTTTATTAATTTTCGTAACTAAAATTTATTTAAATTAATATTCTAAAGCCACACCGATAGGTGTTTCTTACTAAAGTCTAAATAACTAAATGTAAAATACCTTAAAATGCGTTTAATAAAAATTACTTACCCGCAACGAAGAACACATTTATGCATTTATATAAGTTTACAAAACGGGAAGTAGATTTTAAAATTAATGTGATTTCACCATTCGCGGTCTTCTCCATGTATGTTGGAGTAGCTGAATTTAATCCTCTGTTGACGTTAAATGTTTTCTTAATAGTTAGGTGTATTTCAAAGGTACAAAAAAAATTTATTTTTACAATTCTTTTTAATATAAACAATCATATCTTTAAAAAATAAAGTTAGGCATATCAAAGATACATACATATTTAAACAATGTCTCTTGAATGACTCTTGAGTCCAAAGTAGCACCTGTTGGCAAGAGTTAGCCTGCGTCGGAATTCCAGGCTGACATTGTGGTGGTGTTTACGACGACATACGCCAGCAGCTGTACACTCTTATAGAAGATGGTACCTTCTCTATTTAGTTCTGCAGATCGAACTATTTTCTCCAGAAGCAGGTTGAAAAAGTCGAACGATAAGAAATCGCCTTGTCTGAAACTTCATTTGGTATTGAACGGCTCGGAGATGTCCTTCCCGATTCTGATGGAACTTTTGGTGCTGCTCAACGTCAGCTTAGACAGCCGTATAAGTTTTGCAGGGATACCAAATTCGGACATCGTGGCATAAAGGCAGCTCCTTTCCGTGCTGTCGAAAGCAACTTTGAAATCGACGAAGAGGTCGATTCACGGGTCTTTTCCAAGATTTTTCGCATGGTGTATATGTGGTCGGTTGTTGATTTTCCAAGTATTAAGCCACACTGATAAGGCCCAATCAGTTTGTTGACGGTGGGGTTTAATCTTTCATACAATACGCTCGATAGAACCTTATATGCAATCTTGAGAAGGCTTATCCCACGGTAGTTGGCGCAGATTGTAGGGTCTCCTTTTTTGAGGATTGGGCATAGCACACTTAAATTCCAATCGTTAGGCATGCTTTCGTCCGACCATATTTTACAAAGAAGCTGATGCATGATCCTTATCAGTTCTTGCTGCCGTGTTTGAATAGCTCTGCCGGCAATCCATCGGCGCCCGCCGCTTTGTTGTTTTTCAGGCGGGTAATTGCTATTCGAGCTTCTTCCTGGTCGGGCAATGGAACGTCTGCTCCATTGTCATTGATTCTGGAATCGGGTTCGCCTTCTCCCTGCGTTGTGCGTTCACTGCCATTCAACAGGCTGGAGAAGTGTTAAAAGATCACCTTTGGAGGTTCTATAAGAATATGCTCCGGTCTTGAAACCTTCTGTAAACCGCCTCATTTTTTCGTAGAATTTTCGAGCATCGGCCAGCTTATCAAGCTCTTCGAACTCACGCATTTCGACCTCTTTTTTTTCTGTCTGCAAATGCGTCTCGCTTCCCGCACGTGTTGTGGTCGATCGTAACGTTGCGAGGTAGGCAGCCTCTTTTCTCTCCGCTGCGACACGGCACTCCTCGTATCAGCTGTTCTTTTGCATCTTCCCAAAACCAATGGTTTCGGTTGCACGGTTCCCT